TTTAACAGAACATCACTAGTTTTTAATAGACGCATAGATAAAAGAAACAAGTTTATATTGGAAAGTATCCATAAGGACAATGTATAGTATATTGTGCAACTAGTGCAAAAAGTTGTCGATTGCCCACGAGAGCGAAGTTCACTCATTCACTCGAGTGGGCAATCGACAATTTCGCACGAGTTGCACATACTATTTCTTATTACGTTGCTTTTTAATATGTCTCTTTTTTTATATTTTATCATGTAAACAAAAGAGACTTATTAAAAATCAAAAAATACTTTAAAAATCTCGTGAAAAGAAAAACAACTTTTGGAACACCCCATAGGTGAATGCAAAAGATGACATTAAAAACTTCAAATTTGTAAATCGAATTTTAGAGTAGAAAATGAAGGAATTTCAACGTTGCTTCTTCATAATGGTGATTAATAATTTGTTTACATGATGAAATATAACAAAAGAGACATATTAAAAAGGAACGTAATAAAATAAACAAAAAATAAAAAGTTTATTTAAATGTCAACCTCACTTCTTTAATACTAAAACTTCGAGACTGTCCTTTTTGCTTGTCAATTTGCGTGTGCCAATGAAAATTTGGGTGCGAGAAGTTTACTTGTCGCACTCAAATCGACATTAAATTTGCTCAAAACTAGTGTGGTAATTGTGAAGTGGGCAATTAGCGTCTTTTCGAATCCAAAAGAAAGCGAAAAGATACTACTTTCCCCGCATGAGTATTAAAAAATACTATTTGGCACTATTCTTATAACGGTCGCTCTCCAAAGCTTTTGATAATTTCGGAGCGGTTCGACTGTTTCCGGAATTATGTCGCCAAATATTATTTATTCAAATTCATTATTATTTTCTTTTAATTTTTTAAGTAAAATACAGTGTGTTGCATATAAGAACCTTTATTTTATATAAGAGCATATATAAAATACCTATGAAACATTGAAAATCGACGTTATGCCACGATCCACGTTGGTTTTTGCAGTTAACAGTTCACACAGCTTTTTAAGTTTTTAATGCCACTTTTTCACAATTATCACGAGTATGAGTAAATAAAATTTAAATTAAACTCACAAGGTAGCAATAATTACTTTGAAAATGGACGCTTTAAACACTTTTAGGTATTTTTTCAATGAGGGCATTGTAAATTTTGAAAGATCTTATAATTTTTGAAGATTCTAGCTTTGACAAGAGAAAATTATTTCTGTCTTGTTTGCGGTTGTTCTTACCAACCGCTATAGCAGCGCCCTACAACGTATGTGCTCCAAACAATTATCATTTTTGGCGGCATGAGCATTCCAATCTAAACTTGTTTCCTTTATCTGTGAATAGACGTATCTGTTGAAAAAAAACTAAAATATTATTAAATATTTAGATATTTTGAATAATTTTTGGTGTTTTGTTTTGTTCCCGACGACGGGAATATACCTTAGGGGTATACCTCCTAAAACGTTAAGCATTTTTTGTCCGTTAGGCACATTAGATTTGTTAGTAAAATACCGCTGACCAATTGGTTAGATGTTAGACCTGGTTAGATCAACGCAGCGGAGTTTACAAAAATAACTATTTTACTTTGTAGATTTTCTTACAGTTCAGAAATACCAAGAAGACTTTTTTGACGAAATAAATCCGCCACAAAGGTATAGACATAGTTTAATATATCTCATTTTTAGGGTTCCGTACCCAAAGGGTAAAAACGGGAACCCTATTACCAAGACTTCGCTGCCCGTCCGTCCATCCGTCTGTCACAAAGGTCTATCTTATGAACCGTTATAGCTGGGCAGTTGAAATTTTCACAGATAATGTATCTAGGTTGTCCCTATAAGAACAAATACTAAGAACAGAATTAAATAAATAAAAAAGTACTTTCATTAAACATTTTCTTTTAAGTAAGAATTTTACATAGAATCTTTCAAGTCCTCGGTGTCCGCGTGGTTAAAGCGTTAGGACTTTACGCTGCTATGAATTGGAGCCGTAGTAAGACAGGTTCGAATCCTAGTCAAGGCGACTTTTTTTAATCGTTTTTTTTTTAATTTTTACATATTTTTACATATTTATTTTTACTTTTTACATATTTATTTTTACTTTTTACATATTTATTATTGATTAATACAATTTTTATTAATATGTTTCTTCATTTTTTTTTTAATTACTTATACGCGCATTCAAAATTTCAGCTAAATCGGAAGAAAAGTTTATAATAATATAGTGTCTAATGTTGTATAGATAATGAATGGTACGGAACCCTTCGTGCGCGAGCCCGACTCGCACTTGACCAATTTTTTAAATAGTTATTGCTCTGTAACTGTCTCTGCCTGTTTCCAGCTACTGGTAATTACATCTTATCTCCTTGGAGACCTTGAATTTTTTGGTATTCTATAATTTTTGTACTTTATATTTTTTGATATTTTCAATATTATTATATTTTTATAGGTATATCTAGATGGGGTTCTTAAGTATATTTTAGTTTAAATAATTTAGTTAACTGAAACTATATATTCTTACTGGTAATACCACAACTTTCTACTTATGTTACTTAAATATTGTATAATATGTAATTATAACAGAAATCTTGAAATAAATGGAAGCTTTAAATTACCTAAAAACAATTGATATTAGTTTACGATAGACTTTCTCTATTCCTAACTCACTCAACCAACAAGTTTTTCGAAGTCATCGTTTTCTCAAAAAGGATCAAAATACTTGATGTTAAATTAATCATTGCTCATTTAAGTGGTTTACCATACATTTTTGAATTTTTTAACATTGATTTCAAATATATTCTTGAACGATTCCAGATATATCTTTAGTTACATAGCATTCAACAGTTTTATATGCAAGGCTTTAACCAAATCGTCACAGGGTTGTGACAGTCAGCATGTGTTTGTTTTGAAGTCAAACGAAAATTGAATAGTATGTCTAATAAATGATAGTTTTGTTTATAGAAAATAGAATGAAAATTATCAGTGATTTCGATGTTCGATTCTGAAGCACATAATTATTTAGAATTAAATGACAAATAGTTTTAACATCAAACATAAATCGTAAATAGGTAAGTAAATAGTATTCTGCTTCCTTTAAGCCCTATTTTTCCTTTTTTTCTACAGCAAAAAATGTATGAAATTGTAGTAATGGAAGTATAATAAAGATTTTACAGATGATTACAACTGACTAGTTTTCAGTTTTTTGAAAATCCAAATATAAATAATCAAACAAATATAGATAAATATATCGCAATTTTTATAAAAAATAAGTTAATATTAAAACCGCTAAAAAATGGATTAAAAATTCGGTTTCTATATATATTCTAGGCGAATGAAAATTGAAAAATATATATAAAACAGATTTTTTAAGGAACGCTGTTATAAATTTCACAATAATTTTTTATAAAAAATACGACTATTAATTTATCCAGTTCTATCCTGTTGCGTCTCACGTCTCATTTAAACCCATTGGTTACCTAATCGTTTTAAATAACCGTTAGATGGATAGCACAATAAAATACTAATTCACCACCATACACCAAAACACTTAACTTTTGCACTGAATTAAAAAGGTTTTTGGTGTATTGTGGTGAATTACTATTTTATTGTGCTTGCAATAATAATAACAAAGGATTTTATTCAGTAAAGAAGAATAAATACGTTATAAGTTAAAAAATCAATAGCTGAACAATTGCTGTTCGACAGCAAGTGAAGTCTAGCAAAGATGCTACTCCACATAACCGACAAGTCGACAACTATTTAGATTTGGCAAAATGCAATTACAAAAAAAATTTTAATACAATTAATAAATAAATAAAGAGAGGAAAAAACATACATTAAATTTAAATTTACACAAAATGACAGATTAAAAGCAGAGAAGAAATGACACTTTTTGCTTACTGGCCGACAAACCCCAACATTATAAAAAAAACAATCATAGCCAGAATCAGTAGGTTTCATTAAAAAAAAGGTCGGTTTGTGTTTCATTAAAAAAAATCGATAGACGGTTAAGTAATGTTACAGAATTATTGATAAAAGATCTTTTGGACAATGCTGTAGTATAACGAAGCAGTGTAAATTTATCTTTCTGTGTGATATTAACCGAGTGTAGAGATGAGCGTATGGAAAACATGGTCTTAAAACACGGGTTATTATTGGAATTTAGGAACTTTTTAAACAAAACTAGCTAAATGACATTGTCATCTGTACTCCATACGAAGCCAATGAAGTGGTTTAACCTTTTGAGAAGTATGTTTACGTTTTTTTTAGTTAGCACGCATTTTGTACTTTTTGGATTCTTTTTTTTATTAATTGAATGCAGACGAGTATATGAAATCACAATAATTAAAGTGTGATAATACTAGTGCTTCAGTTAACTATTTAAGAGTCATGTTTAATATATGCCTGATGTTAGAAAACGGCAATCTTAAGTTCATATCTTTGGACAAGCTTAGTAACATGCAATTTAAATCGTAATAATTATTTGCGCAGTCCACAAAGTAAAATTTTTTGTTATTAATATTAATGCTTAGTAACACTAAAGATTCCAACTTTTCTTTTAAGAGAATTTATTTTTATAGGCAACAAGCTTTATTCTGATATTAAAAAAAAACAAAAATAAGATCTGATACGTTTTTGTAGCACAAAAGATTTGTCAAACCCGCTCAACAATAGTACATTCATAGATATTCATCATTTAGCATAATAAATATGGAAGTTTTAATTATTAAAGACGTTTGGCGTACAACTATACCTAAAATAAAACACTAATTCACCAAAACAAAAGCTCTACTTTGAACTTACAACGCACGTTTCGCTAGCCATTTTAACATGCTCAGCATATGATTAAAGCTAAGAATAGTTAGTTAAGTTTGTTTTAGTCATTAAAAAATTGTTTTGTAATCTTCTGATGATTTTAACATGGTTGGCGAAACGCGCTTCCACAACTTAAAGTAGTATTGACACATTGTGGCTAATTACTGTTTTATTGTACTATACTAATTATTGGCTTACCTTGCAAATTCATGGACGAAGGAAACATACCAGCGGCCCTGTGCACATCCTGAACATGCGGTCTGGCCCCCATCACGGCACACTGGGACCCGGCGGGACTGTGATGGACGGCCATAGGAGCCCCTGCCGTCGGATTGTATGTTCTTGCCATGGAAGCGGCAGCAGCCGTATAGCGATACGCGGCCTGAGACATTTGACTACAAGAAGTTAAATCGCCGTAAGAACAAGGCATATTGCTCAGACCGGTAGGGTCCATTCCGGCCCCCTGAAGACAGCTAGAGTCGAATGAGGCCTGGTTCAAGTAGGAATAGTCCATGTTGAAAAGAATAAAATACAAAGAAGAATTTATATAATTTAGAGTTGAAGAGATAATTTTGTGATGGTAAAGATCATAACATGAGGTGCAAGAAAGATTTACGCCAGAAATTGAATAATGGTTATCTTGGAGAATAACGCAATAAAGGAGTTAAACGCGATGAATCTGAATCGACCTAAAGCCGGTGTTGTGATTTAGCACCAACCTAGTTAGAGCCACTTGTAAACTTGTTACTTCCGACCCGTCGAGGAATAATCGAATAAAGTCTCCGGCTATCAAATTATGGCTATTAGGGCCTTCGCGCGCGATTTTTTCAAGATACCGAAGCTCGAAGCTCGCGCGTTAGACCTTACTGTCTGCCCGAAATCAAATGATAAGCTTAATTCAATAACCTACCTCGTATACACCCTCTCGGCGAAGGGGGATGAAGCGTCGCAGCATCCCCGGCTGGGCGGGGCCATGGTAGCGACAATGCGGTGCGGCCAATGGGAGACGGCGCCCGCTAGCGCGCAACCCTGCAAATGGTCGGGCACGGCGACGTCACGACACGCGACCGACCGGAGGGTGACAAAGCCGGAGCGGCACACGCATCGCACACACACACCCGCACAGGGGCGCCGCGGAAGGAAGGAGGAATATTAAAAGGGGCCTCGCATCGTCAGCACTAAATTAAATTTGTATTCGTGAAGCTTATCTGTTTTTCTTGGTTTGCATCAACAGCCGGCGTGATTTCTAGACACCTGTTTGGAGATGTAAATATTTCTGGGCACGGAGTAGTTGTGCAGATCGAATAAATAAAGGAAATAGTAAAATACATTTGTATATATACGATAAAAATGTATTAAATTTAATTCGATGTACATCGCTACCTGTTTTAATAGTGCAGTCGTAAATAAAATAGACAGTATATCTTATTTTTACTTAGATTGTTTTTTGTCATTTTTTGGAAAATGCCTACCAAATTATATATTCTATCTAGACAAACATAAATAAAACCGATTTATTTTATTATTATTTTTATACATAGTTTAAACCAGCGCAGCGGCCTGTTAAAATAAAAACTGGTACCATAGGCACCATTTTTACCGCCCCTCTCTCTAATAAAAATTCCAGTTAAATTTTTTTTTATATCTAATACAGACAACAAATGGATTGGTTTATTGAGTTATAAGAAAGTAATTAAAAAAAATGCATACATATGTTATGTTAAGTTCTCTTTACCCCTTTACTTGTATGAAAATTTGTGATAGAAGACCAAATATCTAAAAGCTCAAAATATTAGATAGTATGGCATTTTATATATTTGTGGGAAAGTTTGCAAAAAAAATTAAATTTTCTCGCTAATCTAATATACATATAAAATTCTCGTGTCGAAACGACCTGACCGATTCTTATAAAATTTTATATGTATATTCTTATATATTTTATATGTATTTTATAGTAGGTCTGAGAATAGAATGTTATAATTTATAAGGATGGTCCACCCCAATTTTTTTTGACAAAATTTTTATATTTATTTTTTTATGATGTGGCATTAAAAATACATACAACACTATAAATTTTCACCCTTCTACCATTAACCCCTATTTTTTGTTAGCGATATTAGTAATTCAATAATTTTCAACCCAGGTCGATAACTGACCAATTATTTATTTATCACTTGATCAGTTATCTCCAATTAATTTGTTTAAAACACTCTATCTTCAAATCCTCAGTAGATTGAAGCTAAGGAAAACCGGCGAATGCAGATTTTGTGGGGAGAGCGGGGAAACAACAGAACACCTTATCACTGAGTGGGCCGAAACGACAACCATTCATGCCATAAACTTAGATGAACAGATATTGGAAATGGAGATTACCCTCTATCAAACCTTCCCAGATAGGGCTTTTATCAAAGCCCTGGGACTGTATGATGAGTTATAACTCAAGAAAGGGGGATGCAATAGATCGGTAAGGTCGCAGTAATTAACCCCTCTGCCACCCATTCTACATTCTACAGATTAATTTAAGTTTTTTATTTATAAACCAAAAACAAATATCCCCACAAAAAAACTAAATAAAGGATAAAATTATTATAAAAGTGTTAAATTATGTATGATTTTAAGAAAATAGCGTATAGGATTTCATCTTCCTTGTATTTAGATGTCTCCGATATCCACTAGCTTTTCATAAACTTACAACGGAGAAGGTCTGGTCAGAGAGTTATTATTAAAGTCGACTTTCTCATTGATTTGATCAAGATTATTAAAAGTCGATGACGTCGTTCCGATTCGACGGATCGTCCTTCATCTGTTTTTCTTTTAGACGACGACGGGGGAGTTTTCTTCCCCATTGCCTCTGATTGTGCACAGTGTCAGATCGAATGAGAAAATAAAAGAACGGCGCGATGTGAGCATAGCCATACGCGATAGAGCATCGTCTTAAAGCGACGCAATCAATTTTGTAGACGATGGTAATTAATATTGTTTCGCTTTGTTGCAGTTATTAGTCATTACGTCTCTGACAATTGATCGAAATTTAATTGAAATGTTACGAAATCGTAATAAAATGGTGATATAAAATGTAAAAATTGGTTATACATAGAAAATCATTGGCGAACTTTAGGGAGTGATTTCTCGTAAAAAAAATATAGAAAAAAGTTCTTATAAACATGGATTATGAAGTGGACAATTTTAATAATAAACTTGAAAAAAATATATATAGATTTTATTAATTATCTTAAAAACTCTGTTGTCGATTTTTTGAAAATTCGTCAACGCTATTCAAGTGATAAAAGCCTAATTTCTCATCACGGTCTTTCTGCGGAGGAGAAAGGGGAAAGACATCACCTACCTGCTGAGCCTTATCCAGGGTCAGAACTTCAATGTAAGGATACCGTGTTGGCGAGTCATCAACTCGAGGGAGGAGGGTCATGGTCAGGTGCTCACAATAGGAATTGACCTCAAATCCAAGGAGGCAATAGAGAAAGAGGGACATATGTCCCTCTTTCTCTATTGCTCTTTCTCTATTATAGATACGGAACAATATCCCGGTATCAGGTCTAAGGAGAGACCAAGTTAAAGAGGTGGAGAAAATGGAGACAGATCCTCACGGGTTCCTCAGCCGGAGGAAAGCTCCTCAACTATGAAGGGCGACACGGAGGGCCAAACTCCAACCGTGGAAGGGTGTGTACCCTCGGAGGAAGAACTGTTGTCAGAGGATGGGAAATACCCTGTCCTCTCTAGAACAAGGGTATGATGGGTTATAGACTGTGTGATTATCTCTTGGATGGGGGGCACACACACACACACACAAGAGATCTTTAAGGTCGCGGTGATTAACCCCCTCTCTTACTCATTCTACATTCTACATTCTACAAAGGCCTAATTTAAACCAAATTAAGTTAAAATTAGCAAGTACAGTGGCGTACCATGTGACAACATATCAAAAATAATTGTAAAAAAATGTACGCCATTGATTTTTTTGTAAATTTTGTATTTTTACATTAAGCTAAAGATACAAATTTTTGTATCATAATTTAAATATCTAGTATTGTTTTCGAAAAAAATTTAAAACCGATTAATTCTAGGTTTAGTTTGGTTTGCTGTTCATTAAAAAATAAAAAAAAATGGAATTTTCAACTATAGAGTAAACTATTAAAATGTTTTATATCAAAATTGATTTTAATTTAATTAGTCAATGCAATAGTTTTTTTTATTATTTTAACTTGTAAATTTATATGCAGTTTCTAATTTGACCTATTAACTAGTATTATATTTTTTATTTATAATTCAAGCACATATATTTATTTAATTCAAACATTTAACTATTTCAAACAAAGCTACTTTGACAGACACCCCGTACAAGTTTCTGGGGTCTTTCAATTTATTTCTCGAGTTGGAATTTGATTATTTTTTATTGATTATAAATATAAATATTCTATAAGATGAATATATTTCTTATTTTTTAAATGATGTAAATTAAAAAAAACTGTAAAAACAAATGAAAATATACACCGTTACTTTTTTTTATTATTAATTAACTACTTTATTTATGCTGTCCTAGAATTGAAAAATTGCAGTCACTGCAGAACTGAAACGGTGTACATTTATTAAACAAATTATGTCTGGCAGTTGGTAAATATTTGTATTAATTAGGTTACTATTATATTATTTAACATAAGGAATGTAAAATTTTTTCATGTCATTCATCTTTCCAAACAAATCCTTGGATATTTCGCCACTGCACTGCAAGAAAATCTACAAAATAAAATAATTATTTTTTGTAAACACTTCTGCGTTAAACCTAAACGGACGCTGCTTGTCAGAAGTTATATTTACAGTAAAACAAATTTGCCTAACAAAGAAAAACAAATGCTTAACGTTTCGTTCTTAAAAAAGATACAAAGAATAAAGAAAAAAAAACTATTTAAAATATTTAAATTCAACTATTCGAGAACACTTTACTTTTTTAAAACAAGACACGTCTACAAGACACCGTTGACGTTCTGTTAAAATGACATATTTAACTTGATATTTAAACTTCAAAATTAACAATTACTACCTGACAACAATTACTTAATAAGGTAAAACCAAAAAGCCCCAAACTTTCTGTATGATTATTTTTAAATTTTACGTATGTTGTGTTTATTTATCTTGTTGTATCTATTGTTCTTTAAAATCAAAGAAGCGATTGCCATACATCTACAGATGCATGAGCAATACATTTATTTTTATTAGATTGAATTAAAAAAGCCTCTTTTATTTTTCTTTTAGAGGCTATCGCTTCTTTCATTATAATTTTGGCGTTATTAAAATGTATTCTGTGCCCTGTGTCCCAAGAATGCTGACAAATCTTAGATTTGTGAAAATCTCCCTTTCTTAAATAATCTTTATGTTCTTTAATTCTAACATTTAAGAGTCTAGATGTTTTACCAATGTAAAATTTATCGCATTCACAGAGTATTTGGTATATTACATTTTTTCTTTGTTGTTCTGTATTCATTGGTTTAGTATGTGATA